CTCCTTTCCCATAGGGAAGGGCAGGATGGCTCCCAGCGTACCACAAGCTGGCAGGCAGGGAACCCTGCCTAGAGGGATCCCATTGCTTATTCAGTACGTACACACCCCACACCCCCCCTTTCCAGTATCCACTTAGTGGCCTGGTTTCTTCTCAAAGCTTTTTATATTTCACATTCCTAAGATTTAATTATGTTATCAGAACAACAGGCATCAGGATTTGGAGTGCCAGAATTCACATTAGCAATTGCTATCAACAAAGAAAACGGGCACAGCATGCCCATGCCAGAGTAGATGTGGGCTGCTCTCCTCAATCTACTCAGGGTTATTTATAGCCTGTTTGCAAGCCATCCACCTCCCAGGTTTAGCTTCCAGCTTGCTTCTTTCTGCGCACCCTCTCCCTCAAAGGAAAGCCTTTTGCCTCTCCCTTCCCTGGCACAGCACCCAGATTTGGACACATTTAGTTAATTTTACGTGGCAGGGGGTGTAAGACACCTTTCAATCTTCTTGCATGCATCCACAACAGAAGAAAAGAGAAAACAGTGTCATAAATAAGCAGCAGGGACACTCACCCCCTAATTGTACAATTTTTAAAAAAATATATATATTTATAGTTTCAACACTTGACCACATTGAAGCAGGATCACTGCACATATCCAGCAGCTTTCCGCCCTCCCTGCAGATGAGGATGGAGGCACAAGCTCCATGAGGCAGGACACATCCTTGAACACAAGAAATACCCACGTATTTTGAGACGATTCCAAAGAAGCAGCTATGTGATAGCAGGAGGGGAGAGACAGCTGTGCCTCCACACCAGCACTAGCCGTAATTTGCCCATCCCTCAACCAGCACCATTTCAAGGCAGTCTGACTCTGCCAGGATCCTTTGCCTCCGAATAATTAAGAAACACAAGATGCAGCACACATCGTACAGGTGCAAACCTCCCCACCAGCTTATTTTCCTCTCCTGAGCAGGAGCTGGCACGGGCAGCTCACACCTTCCTCCTAATCTCAGCTCCTGC